TTATAAACATTAATTTTTAAAAAATAATGAGTAAAACTTACACTAAATTTTAATTAAATCAAATTAGGTTTTAACTATAAGTTTTACTCTAATCTAAAAAAATATATATTACAACCTGTCATTGTGCTAGCACCATCTGTACAAATATGCATTAAATCATTATATAAAATATTTTTTGCTTGAAAAAACCAGTTCATTTCAGCAACTATCGTATTTGCAGTATTATCAGACAATAAAATTAGTTCAAGAAATTGATAAATTGGGTTTGCTGATGCAATTAAATGCTTAGAAACAATTGCCAAAGTTTTTTCATTAGGTATAGTATTGCTTTCATCAATCATAAGACTCCAACCACCTGCATCACGTAGTTTTTGAAAAATTTCTTGTTCTATAACACGACCAATTGATTCAATAAATTCACGTGCTGAAACATTATTTTGATAACTGCCATATGGGGCTCGTTCATCATCATCATCAGCGAGTTGATTATTGTCAAATACATTTAAAGTTTTATTACTACATTCAAATTGATTTTGTTCTTTGCGATATTGAATTTCAGATAGCTTACATAAATCTTCAAATATATTTGTAGACAAATTATGTTGAATCAAAAAATATAAATTGCGCATATTTCTCATAACCTTTATTTGATCAGTTCCAGCTTGAATAGCAAAACTGGAATGTAAATTAACTTGAGATTGCATTTGAGCAGCACAAACCATCCGATGGTCATTAATATTAACATGCCGATCTAAGTATTGTTTTTTAAAGTATTCACAACCTTTGGTAAAGTTATTATTCTTGCCAGCATCCTTGCACCAATAACAAAACATAAATTTTTTCAGTGGTCCTTCTCCATGATAAACCCATGGATATATCTTGGGCCAACTTGGGTCCTAGTTTAATGATTCTTTGGCTAATCGTGGCACTTTAAGCTAGTGAGGATTATTTATATCTTCATCAGTTCTAGAAGATTCATCATCAACATCATTATTTGAACCTTCTTTTAACTGAGCAGCAATAGAAAACGGATTTATATTAACAGATTTTGTTTTTTTGTTTGACATATTAGACGCAACTGAACTAATTGTTATTAATCAAATGG